TTGGGAGGGTCTTGCGTTTGAAAAACACCCACGGCTTCAACTTCTCGCCCGTCGCCGTGCACGCCAGCATCACAGTGACTCTCTTTCTGGTAACCACTATTGTGGATGGGCACCGACTTCACGCCCGTCTGCTCCACCGTGGTAGTCGCCGGCATCTCCAGCCACAAAGGGGTGTGGTCGGCATTGATGATGTAACGATTGTCGATGTCGTAGTCGTGGCGTGCGTCGCGGACAAACTGCCAAAATTCCTTGCACTACTTGGCCACGTCTGCACATGGGGAGGGAGGAACAGTTACAAGGGCGGATGAGCACCGCTACAGATAAACAAACATGGGCAAGAAAGTACTGAAATACAAGATAAAATTTCACGATAGGATGACAGTGCACGGACAGGCACTTACGCTGCTGTGTCTTTTGCGCCACCTTTGTTTTCATACGCACGGTGAGATTCCACCGCTTGCGGAACCGCTCCGTCCAGCGCTGACTCGCCTTCCACTTGACGTCCAGGAACAACACCTTCATCACCTCTTTTAACCACTCTTGCAGCCGGCCGACTGATACTGCCACACCGCGGCGTCGCCAGTCCAGGAGTTGGGCGTACACCTTCATCTCCATGGGTCTGTACCAGGAAGACCTTCCGCGGCCATGAAGTCGACACGGAGCACTGTGTGCAGCCTTGAGCTCCTCCGCTTGGTTTTTCCACTCTGTGAGGGATTTGCGGTGTATGCCGGACTCCCGCGCGACCTCGCTTACCGATGCAGCAAGCTCCAGCCAAACGAGCCCCTTCAGTTTCTCCTGGGCGGTGTAGCGCTGCCGTTTGTGTTGAGTCGGCTTGTGCCTGGGAGAGGGGGGGCGGGCATCTCGGTTCTCAGAGGAGGGGTGGGGTCGTTTTTTGTTAATCGACGGATACGTTGGTATCGGCATCTTCTCGCGTGGTGCGTCGCGCCACCAAGACTCCACAACGTCGTCGTTCGCGTCTGTAGCTTCACGATCTGGGAACACGTCCTCCTCGGCGCCCTCTTCACCGTCGACTCCACCGTCGCCTCCAGCATCGCCGTCGCATGTGGGTTGTTTATCGGCGGCCACGTCATCGTTGGCGCCCACAGCCGACTCGTCCCACGTGCAGGCTTCAAGATTTCCCCACCGAGGTGCAGTCGGCGGACCATTGATTTGCCTAGCCTTGGGTGTGTCCGGTTCAGACAACCACTCGTCGAAAGTGGCAGGCAAATATAACTGGAGCACGGGCCGATGGTGACCCCACGCGTCAGGAACAGGAGGATTCGGAGGATTCGGAGGAGCGGGAGGAGCAGGAGGAGTAGGAGGTGCAGGAGGAGCAGGCGGAGCAGGCGGTGCAGGGGGTGTAGGTGGCACTGGAGGCGCTGGTGGCTCACGTGTATACCACCCGTCCGAGGTTAGTCGCCAGGCGCAGGTTGGTTTCTTCTTGAAAAGGAGGTGCGTCCCACTGAATTCTGCCATGGCTTTGCCAGCCAGGCGGGCTAGACTAGAAACTGAATGAAAAAAATGAGGAGGAGGGTGCAGAAATGGGCAACGACGGGGACCCCTGCGGGCTAGCGGCTCGAGGTCCTCGTAAATGACAGGCAGGAAACCCCCGCCTACCCCTGTAGAGGAACCTGCGTGGCAGCATATTCGCTGCGCTGGCAGGGAATCTTCCCCACCCTTCGAGAGGGTTCGGAAGAAATGCAAATGCCACGCAGCGCATGCGGTTGTGATTGGGCCGCACGGCAACATCCCCGTCAAACTGTCACGTTCGATGGTTCTAGACAACTTTGTGCGGTGGGAAACCGAACCGCAGCTGTTTTTGCCTGAAAACCATGCACGCTCCCACTTGTTGCATGGTCCGTTGGATTCGCCTTATTGCGGGCTTCAGTTTAGTATGTTTAAAAGTGAATTTCATTCTTTCCTTATTATAGGCGCATGCGCGTATACAGACACCTCAATTAGAAGCGCACCCCCCCCAAAAAAAACTGTTTTATTATAAGCGCACCTGCGCTTTTATCCGGGGTAATACGGTATCGTAGCAAGGCTAGCTAGGCCGAGGTCGCGGAGATGCGAGATGGTTGGGTGCAGGTATGGGTTGGGAAACTCGAAGGCGACGCGAGGGACATTCGGAAGGCGAGGTCGTCGGACCGAGCCTGATTCCCGAAAGTTGGAATTGTACGCGTACGGAGTGCAGGCCCCAAAATGTCAGGGTAAAATACCCTGATTGCCCTGACTGGCGGCCGCTTTTTTTTTAGGTTTCCCTGACCCAGTCAGGCTCCCGGATTTATTACCCTGACTCATAAAGAGTTTGATTTTTTGTACCCTTATGAATTCCGAGCTATAGATTGTTTCCCCTGACTTTCATCAGTGTTTTAATCCTGTTACACTGATACCGGGTCTTTCGTAGCGAGGATATGGTGGATGTTGCGCAAAATGACGCCATCAAGTGGTGCACTCCGCTTATTTCCCACTGCGAACATTGAACCTGCAACCTTTTCTCTCACTGCTCCAACTCTGGCCGAATGAGCACAACTTGCAATATGCTTATTTGTTATAAATATGGACTCTTGAACGGAATCAGAGTACGAAATTTGTTTACCCTGTTTTCATCAGGGTACGAAAATGTTTACTCTAGGAGTCAGGGTTGGCCCACCCTGGAACTCTGATTTGACAGGGTAGGCCAAAACCAATTTTGGGCCCTGACGGAGTGCCTCAGTATGGAATTAGGAATATTCGTGTGTACGTGATAGAGAGTCCAGTTACCAGCTGTACATGCACTGTAGCTGTTCTGGTTATGTGGTGCTTCAAATGCATTTCTGAGGTGTATGTGCAACCGACACCCAGTTTGTCTGTTTTCGCTTGATGGCTAGATGCAGCCATGTCAGCTACATTTGTCAGCTCATCTGCCAAGTGTCAAAATCGATGGCAGATGCATCCAACAAAAGTGGGCTTTGAAGGAACGCCGTCGATATCTGGTGAAACCCCAATCTGCACCACATCCACCCTGTGAGAGAAGTCGGTCGAAGGAGCGCAATTCTCACTCACCGACATGCAGCCACTCAATCTGGTGGCTTTATCCAATGAAAGCCACGAATACTGCCAGGCTGGCTAAACATTAAGCGTCGCTGTTGGCTGGGGCTCTTGTGTGCAGTTTGCTGACCCGCCATCTCTTCACATGGGACACACGCGCACCCGATAGGTTTTTGCAGCTAGGCCGGCCTCTCCCCCCCTCCTACCCCTCCCCCCTCCTTCCCCCTCCTCCACACAGAGGTCTGGCGGCAGAAACGTCAAAGGGGAAAAGCACACCGGATGTGAAACAGAGCTCGTCTAGGGGGATTTCTTGTATCTGCTGATCTGAGCCGTCGGATAGGTGCTCTTTCTCAGACGGGCAGTCTGCTTTTCCCCAAACTTTCGAACCTAATTGGTTGCTTGTAACGAAGGGTGTATTCCTAGAGAAAATGAGTTTGGATTCCACGGAGGAGCGGGGAGGGGACGAAGAAAGGGGCTGGTGTTGCGGGGGTGAATCAGCGAGGGGTTGGAATTTGGTTGTGGTCGGCTGGTGCAAACATCAGGCTCTGGCAATGCAACAAGAGGGTGAGGGGATTTGAATCGGGCGTGCGTGCATGCAAGGGGTTGATGTGATGGGAGGGGGCAAGCAAGACAGGGAGGGAGCAACTAGACCAGCAGCCACCCTTCCGAGAGGTTTTTTGACCTCGAGCAAATCCGCTGATGTTTTCTTCGGTTCGGCGCGCACTGCAGGTGCCGTGCTTGTGCTGGATGTACTTCTCGACACCGCATTCAACCGATTTGATTTCCACGCTATTTGTCACTGATTACCCATGTTTTACTGTACGACCTTGCTTCCTGGCTTGATGCCTTAGCACCACTCTTCCCGATTAGTACTCTTCGGGTCGTTTTCAAGCACTGCTCCTGCGCACTCGCCTGCTAAATACCTCGCCGCGTTATATTTCCTCTCTTCCTCGCACGGGTGAGAGCGACAGTCGCGCGACGCCCGCAGTTTGATATTTTCTTGCATGGGCGTCGCACCGGAACTATGCTTCTGTTCTAGTAGGGAACGCAAAGCGCGCTGTCCTTTTGCTTCGAACTCGCGGTTCGTGCGAGATCGCAAGGCGCGGAGCTATCTTTCCGGCATCTCTTCACACATCGTTTCCGCCTCCCGCTTTTCACGCTACCTCGACATATGTAACACCCCACACCACACCCACAACGCCCTCGCACCCGCTGCCCCTTTTCCCCGTTCTCCGTCTCCCCTCCTGCTCCCATCCACCATCCCATGCCGCCGCCCCCCCGTTCTCGCTTCGTGACAACCACTGCCACCGTCTCCCCCTGTCGTCTTGCGCTACCATCGCGAAGCTCGCAGTGCGACATGCGGCCGTAGTAGTAGCAGCACCTGGCGCGTCGCCCTGTAGAAGCTACAGCAGTCGCCATCGCCTATCGCCTATCGCCCATCGTCTATCGCCTATCGCTCATCGCCCATCGCCTATCGCCTATCGCCTATCGCCATCGCCATCGCCGCTGCCATCACCAATACGACCCTGCCAGCAACTTTTTTTGTCGTCGCCATCTGGCAATAAGCAACGCCGCCGCTGTCACAGCCGCCTCCGCCTCCTCTCGCGCACCGCGCAGCGCACCACCCGCGCGCTCGCAACCTGATTTTGGTTCGATTCAAGCTGGGATTGATTTTTGTCTGGTTTCGGGCTGACTTTCTCGCCGACCGCCGTACGGTTTGGCAACTGCTCGATTGCGTCTCTAGCCTACGGGGAGGGACTAGCGTTGTTTGCGACGACAGGCGACAGGCGACAGGCGACAGGCGACACGCGACAGGCGACACGCGACGGCGACGTTGGGCGAAGTAGTAGCCCCAGGCCCGTCACGTCGAATTCGCCCGCGCGCGTTTTCTAGAGCGGCGTCATTTAACGCGCTCTTTCCGTTTTTGCGGAGGCGCGCGGTCGGCCCAACGGCTCCGCTGCGCGCGGACGATGGGGGGAGGCGTGCGGGAGGCTGCGGACGAAGGCGGTGGGGTGGCGGTTGCGCGGAGCGGCGACGGTTCGCGGGCGGGGAGTGCTGACGTATTCACAGAGAGCAGCGGGTTTAAAGACAGGAGGGACGCGCGAGGCGCAGCGGAGCACGGGGGTTTTGGGGTCGTCGGGTCAGCGCTGTGTGTGGGGAGGGGGGATGGGATGACGGATGAAGGGCAGGAGGAGGAGCATAAGATTGAGGGAGAGAATAAGGAGGATCAAGGGGCTGTATGCGACGGGTGGGAAGAACAAGCGGTGGGAAGGGAGGATTGGGGAGGGGCGCTTGTGGGGGGTTGTGACGGAAGCAGGTTGGCAGAAGGTAGTGCGGCGGGCGAGGGGGAGCGCGGGAGTGAGTACCCTGGGGGGGGAGGTGTCTCAAGAGAGAGTCATGGGATGGAGACGGCAGTAGGAGGGGCGCGCGGAGGGCAAGGGGACGGGCGGGATGACGGACGGGATGCAGAGAGGGGAGGCGGGGGTAACGTCGAAGAGGCGAAAGAGGCTGCGGCTGGCTCTCTTCCTGATGCCCGGCCAGTTTCTGCCACTGCTGCTACTGCTGCTGCTTCTGCTGCCGCTGCTGCTTCTGCTGCCGCTGCTGCTTCTGCTGCCGCCTCTGCTTCTGCTGGTCGTGCTGCTGCTGATGGTGATGGTGTCGTGGAAAAGGTAGCGGTAGCCCCAGCAGCAGCTGCAGCGGCGGCGGCGGCGGCGAGTGCAGAAGCGGGTGCAGTGGCGGCTGATGTGGTAGTGGTGACGCTCACAGGCGCCGCACAGGCAGAGGACGAGAGCGAGAGGGAGAGGGAACGAGGACGGGAGAGGGACAGGGAGAGGGAAATTGAAAGGGAAAGGGAGAGCGGGAGGGAGAGCGTGTGTGAGAGAGCGAGGGAGACGGACATGGAGAGGGAGAGGGAGAGGGCGAGGGGTGCAGCAGGCAAGAGAGCGAGGGCGCTGTCAGCAGGCGTGTGGGGAAAGACGCCGTGGGACGCTCAGCATGGGACGGAGGGCGATGGGCGAGAGGGCAAGCGGCGGAGAGACACAGGGGCCGCGGGAGAGGGTGCGCGGAGTGGGGTTGCGGGGGAGCGGGAGGGGCGGGCGGGACTGGTGGCGGGTGGGGCAGGTGCGGTGGGGAGAGAAGGGAGGGAGCTGGTTGGCTGGAAGGCGAAGGGGGGAGGGGAGGGGAGAGGGGAGGAGGAGAGGGGGGAAGGGGAGGGACAGCAGGCGGATAACTCAAGGGCTGTGGGCCGTGGAGGAGTGGGGGAGAGAGATGGAGGGATGGAGAGAGATGGAGGGATGGAGAGAGATGGAGGGATGGAGAGAGATGGAGGGGAGAAGTGGGGGGAAGGAGCTGAAGCAGACGGGACAATGGCAGAGGCAGAGGAAGGAGGGGAAAGGGAAGGGCGCGGCGAGGGAGGAGAGAACGAGGAGGGGCGTGAGAGCGAGAGACAAGGTGCAGAATGCGACAAGGAAGGCGCTGCTGCTGCCGCTACTGCTGGTGCTCAGACGCTTGAGTGTGCCACTGCTAGCTTGCCTCTGAGCGAAGCTGGAGGTGAGGATGGTGGGGTGATGGGCGCAGAGGCAACACCACGGCACATAGAGGCGGCTGTTGAGGCGGCTCAGAACTCGATGCCTGCGGGTGAAGGTCCAAGGGAGGATGGCGGGGTGACGGGTGCAGAGGCAACACCACGAGACGCTGGGGCGGAGGAGGGTGTTGCTGGTGCAGAGGGGATTGCAGGAGCACGGGCACCTGCAGGAGGGATAGCAGAGGGAGCAACAGAGGGTGCAGCAAGAGGAGCGGCAGGGGCAGCAGAGGCATGCGCTGTGAAGAAGCGTACCGAGGAGGAGAGGGAAGTGCCGGTGGTTGGGGCGAGAGTGGCAGCTGCTGCTACCTCTGCTGCTGCACCTGGCATGACATGGGAGAGTGGCGGGTTTGCCATGGGGAAAGATGGTGTGCAGTGTGAGAGGGGAGGGAGGGAGGAGGAGACTGCAGGGGATGTCGAGAGGAGTGGTGGAGGGTGCGAGAAAGGGAGAGAAGGGGAAGATTCTGGTACTGCTGCCGTGCATGATGGTGCTGAAGGTTGCAGTGAGCAACAATCAGAGGTGCAAGCAGAGGTGCAGAGGGAACCGGCAACTGAGGAGGCTGTTCCCACGCCTGCTGATGCAAGCCTAGCAGCGCAAGTACCAGCAGCGGCTGCTGAAGGTTCAGAAAGTGCGCGCACACTCGTGCAACTGACACCTTTTGGTGCTCCAGAGGTGGTGGGGGTGGAAAGGGCAGAGGGCGAAGAGGCGTGTAGAACAAGGGAACAGCTGGGAGGGGATTGCCCTCCCATGGCAGACCTGGGAGTTGCTGCTGTAGCAGCAGCTGCAGGAGCAGCAGCAGCACCAGTAGCACCGGCACTGGCACCAGCAGCAGCGGCAGCGCCAGCACCGCCAATAGCAGCAACGCCACCAGCAGCAGCACCAGCAGCAGCACCAGTAGCAGCACCAGCAGCAGCACCAGCAGCGGCACCAGCAGCGGCATCAGCACCATCAACATCAACATTACAGTATGCATCTCCGCAGCAGGTTCCTGTTCCCATGGCCATGCTCATGCCAATGCCTGTGCCAGTGCCCACTCCAGTGCCCACCCCAGTGCCCATGCCCATGCCCATGCCCATGCTGACGCCCACTCCCGTACCCATGGCAATGTGGCCCTTGCACCCAGTTTCTCTCACTGCTGCAACAGTAGCAGCAGCATCAGCAGCAGCACCAGCAGCAGCACCAGCACCGCCAGCAGCACCAGCAGCACCACCAGCAGCAGCAGCAGCGCCCGCATTGGTGGCGGGAACAGCAGGGTCAGAGCCAGCATCTGCTTCTTCTGCCGCCACCGCTGCTGCTGCTGCCACGGCTGCTGCGAGTGTTGCTTCGTCTCCGCCTGCTGTTGCTGTGAGCGAACATGAAGGGTATCAACAGAGGTCATACAGAACTTATGGGAGCACGCAAGGTACAACACTAACAACAGGCGGAGGTGCAGGAGCAGCAGCAGCAGCAGCAGTAGCGGAAGCAGCAGGCAGAGGAGGACGAGAAGCAAGCACAGGCTGTGAGAGCCTGGGTGCAGCAGCTAGTCGAATGGAAGCAGGTGAACGTCAGATTCAGCAGCTACAACAGCAGCAGCAGCAGCAGGAGCAGCAGCAAAAACAATTGCAGCAGCAACAACAACAGCAACAGCAACAGCAGCAGCAGCAGCAACAATGGTTGCAGCAGCAACAACAGCAGCTGCAGCAGCAACAACAGCAGCAGGAACAGCAGCAACAGCATCAGCAAGAACAGCAGCAACAGCATCAGCAAGAACAGCAGCAACAGCAGCTGCAGCAACAACAGCAGCAGGAACAGCAAGAGCAGCAGCGGCAGCAGCAACAACAGCAGCAGCAGCAGCACGAGCAACAACAGTACCAGCAGCAACAACAGCAGCAACAGCAGCAGCAGCAGCAACAAGAGCAGCTGCAGCAGCAACAACAACAACAACAAGAGCAGCAGCAGCAGCAACAAGAGCAGCAGCAACAGCAACAAGAGCAGCAGCAGCAGCAGCAGCAGCAGCAGCAGCGGCTGAAGGGGGTGCGGCTGCGCAAGTGGGGCAAGTGGGTATCTGAGATCCGGGAGCCGGGCAAGCGCAGCCGCATATGGCTGGGCACGTTTGACAGCGCCGAGGCCGCCGCTGAGGCCTACGACGTTGCTGCGTTCCGACTCAGGGGCTCCAAGGCCTTCCTCAACTTCCCCTCCAGGTGGGCAGAGGGTTGGGGGGAGGGAGGGTACCGGGCAGAGGTTGCGGGGTGGGGTCGGGGGTGGGGGGGCGGTGGTTGGTGCGTGATGGGTGGTGCGTGGTGGGTGGTGCATGGTGGGTGGGTAGTGAGCAGTTGAGCTTTTTTAGAGAAACCTCTGTGGTCCAACTCAGGCAAAGCCTTTCTTACATCCACTCCAACACATCCTCCTCCACCTCCTCCACTCCTCCCTCCCTCTCCCACTGCCCTCATCCCCCCTACCCCCCCTCCTCTCAGGCTCGAAACGAATCTTCAGATGGCCCTACCCGGTCTGCCCCCCTCCGCCTCCTCCCCCAACGGGCTCTTCGCCTATGCTCCTCCTCCTCCCCCAGCACCCCCTGCCTTCCCCACCTCTGCCTCCCCTCCCACGCAACCCTCTGCAGCTGCTACAGCTGCTGTTCCTGCAGAGGCTGGGGCTTTTCCAGACCCTGTGGCGGGGAGCTTGGGTGGGGTGGGCGGCGGTAATGGTGCTGCTACTGCAGTTGCTGCTGCTGCTGCTGCTCCGCTGACGTTGCTGGAGGGACAGGTGGTGGATGGGGCAAAGGGGCACCAGGGTGTAGGTCCTCTGTCGCCTGTTTCTTCCCCTGAGGCTCACTCCCCCTCCAGCCATAAGCAGATGCGTGCCGCCGTTGCTGGTGGTGGTGCTGCTGCGGCTTATGCTGGCACTGGCGTCAGTGGTAGCAGTGCTGCTGTTGCTTATGATGTCAAAGCACAACTGATGCACGAACAGTCTCAGCAGCAGCAGCAGCAACAGCAATACCAGCAACCTCAACAGCAGCCACATCAGCAGCAGAAGCAGGAGCAGCAGCAGCAACAACAGCAACAGTTTCTGCAGCAGCAGTCATTTCACCAGCAACAGCAAGCATTGCAACATTTTCAGCCACAAAGCTTCCAGCAAACACAGCCGCTGTCGTACTTCTTCCAGCCGCAACAGCAACAGCACCAGCAGCTGCAGCAGCAGCAGCAGCAGCAGCAGCAGCAGCAGCAGCAGCAGCAGCAGCAGCAGCAGCAGCAGCAGCAGCAGCAGCAGCAGCAGCAGCAGCAGCAGCAGCAGCAGCAGCAGCAGCAGCAGCAGCAGCAGCAGCAGCAGCAGCAGCAGCAGCAGCAGCAGCAGCAGCAGCAGCAGCAGCAGCAGCAGCAGCAGCAGCAGCAGCAGCAGCAGCAGCAGCAGCAGCAGCAGCAGCAGCAGCAGCAGCAGCAGCAGCAGCAGCAGCAGCAGCAGCAGCAGCAGCAGCAGCAGCAGCAGCAGCAGCAGCAGCAGCAGCAGCAGCAGCAGCAGCAGCAGCAGCAGCAGCAGCAGCAGCAGCAGCAGCAGCAGCAGCAGCAGCAGCAGCAGCAGCAGCAGCAGCAGCAGCAGCAGCAGCAGCAGCAGCAGCAGCAGCAGCAGCAGCAGCAGCAGCAGCAGCAGCAGCAGCAGCAGCAGCAGCAGCAGCAGCAGCAGCAGCAGCAGCAGCAGCAGCAGCAGCAGCAGCAGCAGCAGCAGCAGCAGCAGCAGCAGCAGCAGCAGCAGCAGCAGCAGCAGCAGCAGCAGCAGCAGCAGCAGCAGCAGCAGCAACAACAGCAGCAACAACAGCAACAAATGCAGCAGCAGCAGCAGACAAACTTTTTTGTGCAGGCACAGCAGCAAGCACAGCAACAGATGCATCAACAGCAGGAACATTCTTCGCCTCAGGAGAAGCGGCAGCAGCAACAGCCGCTTACCCAGTCCACCCAACCACAACCATCTTGGCAAGATGCACAGCAGCAACAGTTGCAGCAGCAACAGCAACAGCAACAGTTGCAGCAGCAGCAACATCAGCAACAGCAACAACAACAGCAACAGCAACAGTTGCAGCAGCAGCAACAGCAGCAGCAACAGTTGCAGCAGCAGCAACAGCAACAGCAGCAGCAACAGTTGCAGCAGCAGCAGCAGCAACAGCAGCAGCAACAGTTGCAGCAGCAGCAACAGCAACAGCAGCAGCAACAGTTGCAGCAGCAGCAACAACAGCAACAGCAGCAGCAGCAGCAGGAGCAGCAGCAGGAACAGCAACAACAATGGCAGCAGCAGCAGCAACAACAACAGCAATGGCAGCAGCAGCACCAGTTTCATCCTCTTACAGGAAGCATGCCGTACCCATCACCTCTCACATCGCTAGTTCCGTCCGCACCACCACCTTCCACTCCTCAAGCATCCCACACGGATCCCTCCCAACAACCCACCACTGCACGTGCACCTGCCCCTGCACTGGCCTCTTCATCTCCAGCTGTATTCATGGCTCCGTATCCTTTCTACCCACCCATCACCGCCACCCCGTCGCACGCTTACTCAAATACCACTTACTCAAACAACACTTACTCAAACAACACATACTCAAACAACACTTACTCAAACAACACATACTCAAACAACACTTACTCCGTCCCTTCTGTCACCTCCACCAGTGTCGCTGCTGCTGCTGCTGTTGCTGCCGCCACAGCAGCTTCTGCTGCCGCCTCTACCACCAATGAACCTGCTGCTACTGTTGTAGGTGTGGGTGCTGCTTCGGGTGCTTCTGCTGCTGCTGGTCCTCCCGCTCATTCCTTCAGCCTCACTGCCACTCCAACACCCATTCCATTTCCTCACCCTCCCACAGCCTCCGTGCCCCTGTCTGGGCCCACACCTGCCCTGCCTCCTTCCTCCCTGCCGCCACCTCACTCATCTACCGCACCAGCTGCCTTTGAAAATTCTCAAAACTCGTCTCTCTCCTCTGCACCCTCGCTTCCTCCGCTTGCTCCTCCGTCCACCCACTCTGCCTTCCTGTCTTCCCACTGGGCCTTAGCAGCAGTGGCGGCTGCTGCTGCGCCTAATCCGCCTGCTGCAACTGCTCCGTTTGCAACTACACCAGGCCAAGCCCTAGCACCAGTGCCCATGCAAGTGCCAGTGCCATCAGTAGTGCCAGTGCCAGTGCCCCTCACAGGTCCCAGGCCTATGGACATTCCCCCTCAGTTTGTGCACATTCACACAGCAGCGGCCGCAGCAGCAGCAGCAGCAGCAGCAGCAGCAGCAGCAGCAGCAGCAGCGGCAGCAGCAGCAGGTGGAGCAGCAGCAGGTACAGCAGTAGAGGGTGCTGCTCCCGCGTGGCTCTCATCTTCAACTATACGACCAGTGGCCACAAACGCACCTCAGGGAACCTCTGGGTCTGTGGCTCCTGCACTTGTGCCTTCCTCTGCTGCTGCTAGTGCTGCTGCTGCCAGTACTGCTGCTGCTGCTGGTGGGGTTATTGGTGCTGCTGCTGGTGGCAGTGCTGGTAGCGGTGGGTTGCTGCCTTTAGGTCTTTCCGCTACCACCTTTCAGACCCAACCCGCTCTCTCACCCCCACCCGCTTCCTCCCTCCCTTCCGCCCCATCAGCCTCTCTTTCTGCTCCACCTGCCCCTGTCACTGCAGCCCCGTCTCTCCCCACCCCTACTCCTCTTCCGCCGCCTTGGTTCCCCCCTTCTCCTTTCTTCCCAACTCTCCCAACCCCGTATGCTGTTCCACCCGCCTCTTTTCGCCCGCTTCTTGATACCAATTCTTCAGCCGCAGGGGGCCTGGTAGCAGGGGCAGGATCAGGAGCAGCAGCAGGAGCTGCTGGTGGGACGGAACCTGGTTCCAGCCAGGGTTCAATAAGGCATTCCGGGGAAACAACGGGAGGGACAGAAGCAGGAGGAGCGCTAGTACCAGCAGCAGCAGCAGCAGCAGCAGTAGTAGCTGGAACGGCACAGCACGGAGTTTCAGCAGCAGCAGGCGTGTCCGTGCCAGATCCCTCTGCTGCTACTCTTCCTGCTCCACCTGCTGTACCAGGCACAGCAGCTGCTGCTGCTGCAGCAGCAGCAACAGTAGCCACAGCAGCAACGGTGCCAACAGCAGCTGAGGGGGGAGGGGCTTTAAGACCAGGCCCTCCACAGGGGGCGTTCAGTGTGCTCGCGCCTAGATCACATGCAGGCAATGCGCTGTTGGGTAGCCCTGGGTTGGGGCCACGGCTGTCAGAGAGGGGCCAAGGGAGGGAGGGGTTTCTGCCATGGGGGGGCAGTCTTGGGTCTCAACTCACCCCCCCTCAGCAGCAGCAGCAGCAGCAGCAGCAGCAGCAGCGGCGGCAGCAGGGAGTGAACCAGGTGTTAGGTGAAGGAAGCATGAGTGCCTATATAAATGGTAGTTCCAGTGCAGCAACATTGGGTGGTGCCCCTGTGGCCGTGACAGCATACCGGCCTGTTCCTGTACCTGGCGTGTTCCCTGTGGGGAGCATTCAGGCTTACAGTGCAGGCAAAGAAGCACCGAGTGCTGTTGAGACGCAGCAGCAACACCAGCAGCAGTTGCAGCAGCAGCAGCAGCAGCAGGCGCCACAACAGCTTTTATTTCTTCAGCCAACTCCTTCGTTTGTCCACGAGCAGCCACCACAACAGCAGCCCCATACATTTTTGCCACCACTGCAACCGCAGATGCAACAGCAACAGCAACACCAAACGGAGCATGTTCCCTCCACTGACCCCCCTCAGTTCCAGCAGCATTGCAGCATGGCTGCTGTTGCGAAGCACTCTACCCATTTCACCCCCACGCCCATACTTGTAACCACCCCTTTCCCTGTCCCTCTCTCAGTCGGTGGTCCCTCTCCCATCCCTTTTCTTGGGCTTGGACCGGGAATGGTTGATCAAGGCACTTACCACCACCACTGTGACCCTACTCCCCCCCACATTATGACAGCACCCCCCTCGTCAGTTTACCCTTTCACAAGAGATTGATATCAGAGGGTTGGTGTACGAGAGGTTCTCTGCTTGTTCTTGTTTTCTTCATTTCAGGTGAAAGCATATCCGTCATCCCTTGGATGTAGTATGACCAGGGCTGACGATTCAAATATGGGTACCCTGTTTTCAATCCCCCAAAAAAATATTTACCCTGAAGGCACATTTTCCGCAAAACGCCAAGCCTGAGCCTTCTTGCGATGTTCAGGGTTCACGAAATCGCAAGTCTGGGCTGTCAGGGTTGGCGGATTGAATTCAGGGTTGATTTTTTACTTCTTTCTAGTTTGGCGAGAAAAGCAGTGGCGCGTTTGACACGAGAAATCTAGCTGGATTGGCGGATTGGCTGGAGGGAGTGCATGTGGCTTGGGAGGGAGGATCTCCTAGGGGCGAAGGGGCGAGAGCGAGGGGTGTGCTAAGGGGGAGGGAGCAAGTGAGTGGGATGGATGGGGGTGGGGCTATTTCGTGACCGCGGGTCGTCCGCACAAAAGGGGGAGACGGGGGGCAGGAAATGGGGGAACGGACTGCTCATGGGAGGGGTGTCGAGACTCGACCTGGTTTTGGTGGGGGGGGGGGGGGACGTTTTTCAATGTTAGTGTCTCGTTTAGTTTCACAATTATTCTAATGTACACATGTTTTTTTCCAAAGTTAGCGAAAAACAGCTGATTACAAAAACTATCAGTCACATGGCAATACGGTGTTTCATTACGGATGGTTTTCTTTTATCTCCTGCCGAATCACTTTGCGATCCGCCAGATCGTGATTTGTTTTCTCGGTTCAAGTTTGCAGATAACCAAAATCAGAAATGGAATGATTAGTCATTCTAACAGAAACGTAGTGTACTGCGATAACCTGGATAGCGCGAATGGAGTCTCTGAGATGGGAGCAAGCGTAATCATGATTACGCACATGTGGGTTATCGGGACGAAGATTCCTGGAAGCTTCATCCCGATAACGTTGCACTCAGGGTCAACAAGACGCATATTCTGAATGGACAGGGTCCTTAAGAACACTACTCTGTGAGCGTATACAAAATTCCAGGGTTCGCTAAAGTACTACTCTCACAAGATCAGTGTTCAGAAGACGTTAAACCTGAAATTACAGGGACCAGAATGTGACAAGTCTGAAATCACCCTAAAATCAGGGTAATTACCCTGATAAAATCAGCCCTAAGTATGACCCCAAGGGCCAGTAGCTAAAATAAAGGGGGGACCTGTACTTGAATACCGCACGTATCTGGTCCGTGGAAATGTAGTTTTTGCGTAGTAAAAACAAGGTGCTCTTTCCAAAAGGGCTCCAAGATGCAACCTTTGCTCACTGGTTCCGGTAAAACATGCCAATTATAGGAGCCCAAGGTGTTTTCTGGGTTTTCACTACTCTGACATCAATCTCTTGTGAAACAACTTCATTTCTGATTCGTCTTCTCATAAAATTCTTGGCAGAATTAACAACATATAAATATGTTTTGACACACCCCCCTAGGCATAGTGAGGGATAGTGGTACGAGTGCAATTGAGCGAGTGAGCGAGAATTGCACTATCGAAGCAAAAGAGTACATCGAGCGAATGTATGAGCGAAGAATATGCAGCGAGGTCAAAACCCTAAACCCTAAACGTAACCGATTAGCTTGGGCGTCGTGGTTCCGGTTTTGTGGTAGGTCAAACCGATCGTCGGGGTGCTGACAAGGTAGTGGAGTGCGCGGTCGAGCTCCGCCATGTGCTCGGCTTCAGGCTTCTTGAGGTAGGTGGCGAGTTGGCTCGCTGAGTACAATAGATCCGGTCGGCAGGTAATGGTTGCGAAGAGTAGGCAGCCTAGCTTTCGTTGGTAGTCGCGAATGCCAGCGGATTTAAGCAGAGCGATCTTTTCTTTGCGACTTCCGTCGGTGTAGCGGTATGGTGTAGTGATGGCGGTTGGAGTTAGTCCGAAACGCTTGGCGATGGTGTCGGCGTATTTTGCGGCGCTGAGGTAGATCGTGTTTTTCCCATCTTGTATGTTAAATCCCTGGTATTGTGTCACGGTACACGAGACGGTGAGCGTGAGGTCCCGTTGCAGCTCCCCTTCGAACCAGATTGTGATGCCGTCGGTTGAACCAATGTAGAGCAAGCCGTCCACGTAGACGATGAGTAAGATGTAGTCGGCGCCCTTCGTAAGTCGGTACATTCCTTGGTCGTGTGGCAATTGGCGGAATCCGATGCGAATTAGCCGAGCGTGTAGGTACTGCTGCCACAGCCTCAGAGCTTGCTTGATGCTGTATAAGGACTTCAGCAATTGACAGACTTGGTTGGGGTCTACGTTAGAGCCATGTGGTTGCTCGACGAAGATCTCAGCGTCGACGGGAGCGTAGAGAAAAGCGTTGGCGACGTCAATTTGTCGGAGCTTCTTTCGCTTCATGGCGGCTATCGCGGGGAGAATTCGGAGTGATGTGTGCCGACTGACTGGCGCAAAAGTCCGAATTCAAATCCTTAGGTGGCGGTGCTCCGTGGACGGCGGTGACGAGTCCTAGTATCTACAGCCCACTCTGTGTGTAGCGAGGGAGAGTTGCGTCCTCGGGATAAGCTGCTTTGTCTTCTTCTTCTGGATCAGGTAAGAACCTTGGGCCTATGCGTTCTGAAACGTTAGTGTCGACTAGTTGGGGTGTAACGTAACCGTTGTCGGCGAAGTCGTAATAGACTTCGGCGTTGACACTTCCGCGAGGGTTGTCGTCGTCCATGGGGATGTCCATCGAGCAATAGGGAAGAGGTCCGGCTTCCTCCAAAGCTCCGTCCATGTTGTGCTCATCCCAGTCAACTTCATCTGCTGCCGAAGCGAAGGCTCGGTCCCCACAAAATCCGCCCGTGACATCTCGTTCTGTTTCCATGTTGTACAGGTACGTCTGAATGGTGAGACGTTCGTAGAAGATCACATCACGTGCTGCCACTGTTTCCTTCGTGTGGACGTAAAAAATCTTCCACGGGTTGTAGTGTTTTTCAGTGCCCTAGTGAAGTCCCCACTGTGCGCGTTGGGAGAATCGTCCGGCTCGTGCTGTGAAGATAAGCAGTAGAAGAAGGCGCCATAGCTAGGAAAGCCCTAGCTAGGCAAGAAGCAGTTTAGGCAAAAAGGGTGTTCACTAGCAAGAATGAGGATACAAATAGCAAACCCTAGAAGGGTTGTACTCGCTATAGAGCACCCCACTACAGGCTAGAGCATAACATTCTGACACACCCCCATAGCCAAAGTGGGGTGTAATCAGCAGAGCAAGCAAAGCAAAACAAGCTCAGGGTGGATCACAATGTCACCACACATTCTGAGCACAAGTTCAAGAAGCAACAGTTTAAAGTTCACAAGTGTAAGCAAAGCTAGAGGCTATCGCAGAGGGCAAGTGAGGAGGAGGAGGCGAGACTGTAAGAGGAGAGGAGATAGGAGGTGACGACTGAAGCTGCAGACACACGGGCAACAGGAGGCACACTGGCACAGCGGCTACCGGAACAACGCTCCGGACTACTGGAGTAATTGGCCCCGTGGCTAAAAGTAGCGGCAGACGAGCAACGGACCCACGGGCGACTGGCACAGGTGGCTGCGACTGGGCTACCGGAGCAACTCCCCGGACTACAGGTGCTGCTGGCGACACGACGGCAACCTCCGTTCAACTTCCCCAAACAGTCCCACCCCCCCTGACACGCACCCCCTACTTCACCCCTAGCTCCACTCCCACGTCACCCCCCTAGCACCACTCCTTCGGCTCCCACACACCCACCCCCCTGAGCGGCAGCTACAGTAGCGGGAGACGGAGGAGAAGGAGGAGCAGGGGACG